CCCCCCCCCCCCCCCAATTCCCCCGCTACTTGCATTTGTAACATAGGTCGACCAATATAGATATCATCAGAAAATATAACATTGCAGGTAAAACCTGAAAAAAATGTTGAACTAGACGACGCGTGGATTCGCAGAATGGCCTTCCGGAAGCAACGCACGAAGTGGGCGTGTCAGCATTATGGCTCGGGGGCCCGAACGCCCTTGAATCCACCGTCTTCAGAAGAACTGCAGTATATATGGGTGAGCGATGACCTTCAACTCGTTTACTGTGAGGTGCCAAAAGCAGCAAGTTCTTTGTGGAAAATGCTGATATTGAAAGCTAAAGGATATCCCATAAAATCGTCGGAATCAGTACACATGATCGACTTTCCCCAGAACCTACGTCGCCTTGACACTTACTCCAGTTCAGAAATAGAAAACATATTAAATCATTATCTGAAGTTCCTGATTTTGCGTCACCCAGCTGACCGACTGGTGTCTGCATACAGGGATAAGATCAAATTCTGGAAGCCTCAGAACCCAAGGGCGTTGTCAAGGGTGGGGAATTACGTCAATCAACTAAAAGGTCTGCCCCCATTTTACCCCACAGACATACCAGAGGACGACACGCAGCTGTATTATTACCTGAAACGCAAGATAAATTCGGGGGCGGAGCTATGGGATACAATGACAAGTCTCCGCCCATCAAATGTCACATTTCGCGATTTCGTCCGGTATGTAGCGGATCACTCGGATGCACCGGATAAACACTGGGCTCCGATTCATCGACAGTGCCACCCCTGTTACATTAATTATGACATCATTTCTTACTATGAAACAATGAAGGAGGACGGGGCCAACATCCTCAAACTTGTACAGCACGATACCGACTTACGCATTAAAGAGAAGACGCAATCTTCCTGTCCGAAATGTTTGAGAACTTCTAAAATGTTTGAGAGGATTTATGAGCCGGAAATGGGGAAAATAAAACAGATGTATCAGCTGGACTGGGCAATGGCTCTAGGAGAAACCGACTTTCTGAAATCTCCGTGACATTCATAATAATAATATAATAATAATAATAATCTTTATTGGAATATTGCAACCCGAAGGTTGAAGTTATACATATATATACTTTATTTATTTATTTAAATGAAATTTATTGAAGTCAGAGAAGCCTGGCCCTCTTGCACTCTATAGACGCTCTCACCTCCATGGGGAGGATACAGCCCGGCTGCCATATTCAATGTAACTATTAAATGAAAACTTTGAAAATGCTAAATAATACACCAAATGGACTATCATACAATTAATCAATAAATGTATACTCTGTTGCAATATTTTAAAAAGAGAATCTTTAGCCGTTTATGAAAGTTTAAAAGTTTCAGCAGAGCATTTTTTTGTCTGTATATGCTGAGGTAAAGACAGAAAACAGATTAACAGTGTGCACTGTAATTACTCCAAAACTCCAGATTACCCAGTGTATGTGCCTGAAACTAACCATATCAGACCAAATATTTTTCCTTTTCTTTCTAGAAAAGCAAGACATAACACTTTCAAAAGAGGTTTTGCAATATGTGTATATTTAATATTTGCTGAAGCAAATACATATATCCATTTCTGTAAATATTGTTGTATATTATAAAGTGGAAGTAAAACTATTTTGGCAATGTTAAAATACTTGGCACATAATGTTACGTACTGTGACAATGGCTTTCAAACAAAAAGTTGCAAAGTGGAAAAACATCTTTTTAAAGATGTATAACAAGTAGTGCATCTACAATTCATATCACTTAAATTTGGCACATTTTTTTAATACAACAAATGTTTCATATTGAAAATATTATTTGGGTTTGCATTGCTGTTATAAAGGAACACAGAGCAGTGTTTACACTGTATATCTTATACAGGAACACAAAGCATTAATTACTTCTTGAAAACTTAGGAATGCACAGTGTAACATATTCTTGAAAAAAAATCAAACTTAGTTTCTGTGACTAAACAACCTAAAGTTTGTTCTTCCTTTTCTGACAATCACCATTACACAATAACAATATGGGAAAATGAAAGTCTTTAACCTTAAGCATGGATTTTCAAATAAAACCATACCTTCAAATTCGGTGGGGGGGGGGGGGGGATTCAAAACTGTCAACATGGTTGACAGGTGGCGAGTTATGTCAGGAGGCGATAAATTAGATTATAAAATTTGGTGACATCAATAAGTATTATTTGTCCTCAGATCAATTTAATAATAAGTGGTGTACAGACTTAACATGAAACAGCAAAATCTTATACTTTGTCCCTTTATGTACTGCTAAATACCAAAACTACATTGCATCTTTTTAAAATACTTTTCTTAAAAATAAAAGATAAAAAACAATATATATGTATATACCTGTATATATTCAAAGCACCAATTCAAATTTTCAAACTTCAAAAACATTTTGCACCAAAATTGAAACACGTACACTCATACAAGATACATTTAAGTACATGTGAGACAGACTCTAGTCTCGTTCATAAAAAACATAAAAGCAGAATACATTGGTCTGTAGAATGCTCTGACAGCACCATGCATTACACCACATGAATGCAATCCAGTCTTCATCTACAACTGTAAAAAGCAACCATCATATGTAAACCATGCCCTAATAGTTTATGATGTTGACAGATACATCATATGTTCTCAGGTCATAACTGACTTAGTCCACTTCTGATAAAGTGAGGGGTTTGTTCTGAAACAGTGATAAACCTTTTTGTGTTTGTGTTTATATAAATTAACAAATAAAGAAACTTCATTTGACCTGTTGCTGAATTGATTTCTTCACAATTTCATTCTGTCTGATATAGCCAACCCTCTTGTCCTTTGGCATTTGCTCATTCAAAAGGAACTTTCCTACACTCTCATGATTAACCATACAGTGCCATGTTTTCCTCAGCTTGAGATGTATGTTCTCTCATTCTAGCAAAGCTTTCTCCTTCTAGGTCATCCAGTCTGATGAAAGTAACTCATTCAATTCGCATTTAAACATTACCATAAGATAAAATTTTTCCAGTATTTTATTTTTGGTAGGAGAAACAATCTGTAGACTGCATTCTCCACAAAGCACTAGTCACAGAGTGAATCATAAAGCCTGCAGCTATGCAAAGAGACATTAACAAAATAATGCTGGACTTTCAAACATGAAACTGCTTGTGATGTCACCTAAACATAAACCCAAACTGGTTCATCACTCTATCAAAAATATACCCCTCACCATGCCTGTAGTCAATGCACAAAAATGAACATGTACATCAATGGATTAGTTGTCTTGGTTTGTGCTCTGCTGGTCGAAGCAACTGGAACAGTATCCTGAACAATGTTCTCTTTTCCATACATCTTCTGCAAGAAACGAAGCACACCAGGTCTATTCCAGACAGGCTTGTCCTGATTGGTTGCTGGGATGGTCATGTGACAGCTAGGACAGGCCGAGTAGGAAGGGAACTGGATTTTAGGAAAAGCTGGATCTTCAGTAATGTCCTCATGCAGACGCTTATTAGCTTTATTGTGAGCTTCCCAAAGCCACATAATTCCATACGCCTTATTTGTCTCACCAGTTGTGATCCCAGCTGCCATAAGACCAAAATTTTCAGCACATTCATGGCAGGAGAAAAAGCTTTGAATGTATCCATTCATAGCTACCAGAACTTCTGCTGGCTCCCAGTTGCTGTCTAGAGACAAAAAAAGACATGCATAAATTCTTACAATAACATATAACACAAAGGTATGTACAATATGATACGTGATATAGGGTGGATGCACACAGTAAATAATATACTTTTGAAATATTTACCTGAATGTTTTTTTTTTCTTTTTTTCAATGAGGGGGAAAGAACCACATGTCTATGTAAGTCTCACACAAAAAGACAACTCTCAGAACAATACTGAACATATCTCAGGCTTGTACCAAATGTAAAGTTCATCTTCATTACCCTTTAATATTTCAGAATTAAGATGACCCATACTGTACATAATTTTACATATAATTTAATGTGCCCCATTAATTAAAGAAAAAAGTTCAACTACATAGGCTTCAATACACAATTATAGAGACTTACTGTACTTGTTTACTGCAGCAGCATTAACTGTAAGTGTATGAAATAGTGTCCACAAGCTGCAGGGGTAACCTCTGTAGTTGTCAGCACTTCCCTTACATCCCACCCACTTGGTGGTGTCGGGCAGGGAGGCCTCTCGGCTCTACAGATGTGAATCACAGAAATTTATAACTTATTTTTGGGAAGAAGATTTAAAATATACAAACTGCAAGAGGTCTGTAGGAATTAAATTCAAAGGATGTACATTCTTATTCTTTTGAAAAGGTGAAGGCCCTACCCTTATAAATAGATTATACAATCTTACTGATAAATACTTCATGCCTTACAAATTGATAATTTGATATTTTTCCTTCGAATATAACATTGCACTTGGTTCACAAAACTTCCCTTCAAATAACATTGTTTTCTATTTCTCTCATCAGCTGTATATTGATAAACTATGATGTGCAATTATAGAAAGAGCCCCAATGTGCTTAGATTTCACTACTGTTTACAATGACAAGTAAAGATTTTACAGTAAAATAGTCCATATAATCCTATTTGCATGATTGTCTTCAAGACCACTTAGTAACAAAAGAAACATAATAGTAAAAGAAACCTACTGACCATGGAAATAAATAAAACTGTCACTCTAGATAAAATTCCCCAAGCAGAATTCACAAAGCACATGTCCAAATATTGAAAACATGCATGCACTATGGGACAGTTACCCACCTGCAGTTTACTCAGCTGATTTAACCACTGGTCAACTGACACCATACTCTGTCCCTGCAGCCAGTTATTCAGTCTTTGTAGATACAGGTGGACTTGGGGCCTCCCAGGAAAGTACTTAAAACAATCAGAAATCAACTGATGTAATTTACTCTGTATAGGTATAGTACATGTATGAATAAAAAAATTAGATTATCTCTTAAATGTTAGTGGCTCACCAGCAAGTTGTTAGATCAGAGTGGACAAGACTACAGTCACAGTAGAAACCTATAGAATTTTACATCATTTTCAAAAAGGAAAAAAATTGTATATAAATGTTCTTTTGAGAGGCAATACAGTAATTACTTTACAATAATTTCAAACACAAATTAATTATTGATATGAACAGAAATGTTTTGTCTCTATATACTTAAAAATGCCGATTCAAAAGGTGCAAAAAGTACTAAGCTAGAGATCAAAATGCATTGTTGTGAGTGTTTGAAAAAATTGATAAATATTGGAAATGTTAAAGAAAAATATCATCAAAAGTGGGGCATTTGAATATTTCTAGTACTTATGGCAAATCTAAAAGCAAATATTCAATATTTATCAAGTGAGCCTACAGCAACCCAGATCTCCATTACCTTAGCTAACACATCAATGAAGGCTTTCAAGTTTTCCAAGTCTCCGTCCTTTAACGAGCTGTGCAGGGGGACCTCCTGGGTAAAGGCAAAGTGCAACCCAGACTCCAGATCTTGCATGTAAACTCTAGGCCTGGTTTCTTTGCTATGAATGAGAGTTAAAAGAGATATGTCTGTGTAAGATTTATACCTAATATAATGAAATAGGGGAATGTCCTGTATTATCACCTGCACAGGAGTACAACTGGTACACCCCCCACCCATCCAAATTCAAACTGTATTCAATGAAAAATTTTTTAAATGTTTGTAGTTTTTGTTAGGAGTAACTATTTGCAAATATTGGTTAATACAACTATGTTTTGACAATATACAAGTAACTGAAAAAGTTTTCAAACTAAATAAGTTCTAAAAATACTAAAAAGAAGAAAAAGTTTATGAAAACAGTTTAAGAAATGATAAAATTTTCACCTGCTAATTGTTGTAACCCGTTCAGTTGTAGGTCGAGGTGTTGTAGAGGCAATCGTTTCCCCAGCAACTTGTTTCAACAATGAGATGTAACTGCCAGTGTCATTCTTACCACTGTAAAAAAATGACCAACTTCTTAAAAATAATAAATAAAAATTCTTTATGCATAAAATATTTTACATTAGCAGGTTCTTCAAACTACAAAAATTATTATAAAACATATATAAATAACTTTACATATATAATGTAGGTAAAATAGGTAACTGAAATTATTCAGAATTAAATAACTCAAAACACAAAATGTCAAAAATAATTGATTTCTGGAGAAAACAGGAAAGCTAAGAGGAAAAGGACAAAAATATGGAAAAGAAAATAAAGGCTATGGGGAGTAGACAGAGAAAACTATCAGAAATGCATTAAGAAGAAAAAATAAGGAAAACAGATGGAAACATAATATAGAGAAGGAAAAAAGGAGAAAAGAAGATTATAAATGATGTGCCAGTATGAAAGAGAATATAAAGAAAATACATATATTAATCCAAACAATAACTAAAGACAGTAGACATGAACACAAACACCATATTGTAGTCAAATCAAAATGATTATACCCACTAAACATAAAAAATATATAAATATAGCTTAGTTTTTGTTACGTGAAATCAAAAAGCTGAATCTCAAAAGTATACCTGAGTAAAAGTCGCTGCCTCCCATTCTGTAAGACCTGGTACATAGACGGGAACTCTGTGACATCTCTCCCTCCAACAAGCCTTCTAACAGTCACTCTCCTGTCTGGCAACATGGACAGAATGACCTGTTTATAAGGAAAATGTAGCAACATTAGAGGTGTAGCTAAGTGTGTGTGTGTGTGTGTGTGTGTGTGAAGATGTGTGTTTGAGTATGTGTGTGTGGGGGGGAAGGAGAGAAAGCCAAATTCAAATGACTTCAAACAAGTGTGCATCAGTAACATTTATAAAATCACTAGTATCAACTCAATATTTGCAAACCAGGTGTATATGGTAACTTATTGGTAAAAGGATTGTGAACTGCCCTACAATAGGTTTTACACAAACAAATAAAAAAAAATAATAAAAAGATTTCCATTTTATAAACTAAACTAATGTATTAAGTAACTGATATTGACAAATATACTGGGGTGAAAAGGGGTAATTAAATTGTGAAATCTCAGTCTCTCGAACCAACACATTCTAGTTGTGAATTCTTAATTATTTAAAGCCATGAACATCATTGTACATCATACAAACTCTCCCAATCAAAGTTATATCTCATACCACCTGGCGTCAGATTAAACTTTAAATGTTAACAATACCTCATTTCTCAAGGCATCATACATTTGCTACTGTACACAATGCATACTCTCTACATTTGTTCACAACCAAGGTCAGTCAGCAAACATTAAGCCATCAAGATAATACCTGTTAATTCATTGATCAGAATAGTGTATCTGTATACTTACTTCCATAGCCAGTGTGTCATTTTCATTAGCCTCTACTATGACTGCCTTCAGATATCCTCCCGTGCTGCCCTCTGTCAAAACGTCCACTGGAGATCTGAAGAAATATGAGGATTATCATTTACATTGCGCATATCAACAAAATAAATACAAATGTTACATTTTAAAACTAAGAGCAGATAATCTCATTCATATTTGCTTTTTTCAAAAGTTAAATCAAACGCTTTAAAGAGCCTACAAGCATGCTAATGGAACTTATTTTTAAAGCTGACAATTTCTGAACAATATTGTACAGAATCACTTTAAAAACTACATAACCAAAAAACAATTAATCAAATTCTGTAGACTGCAGACAATCACTGGGTATCAATTACTAGCTAACAAACACCTGATATTTGTTTATTAGTACATATTTACTGCAATGGGAATAAAAAGGGCCATATATTGCTGGCATTCGGATGACTGATGAGAAACTTCAGCATAGCACTCCTAATAAGGCTGGCTTCTTCTTTTCCATCATAATATGGGGAATTGTCACTAGCACTGGCATCCTGTTGGAAAAACTAGTCAGAAAAAAATTAATAATTGCATCAATTTAAGTCAGTAAAAACTGAACATCTGACAAAAACCAATTATAACTAAGCATCTTTATGTGTTCACAAGTGCTTTTCAATTGGTTCAAACCACTGTATTCTACAATAATTCAATAGAACTTTACATGAAGATTTTTTACCTTTAAAGTTGGCACAAATATGACGCCATTTCTCTGACACAAAGCTCTATTTATGGCTTCTGCACAATTAACAGCCCCTATCTTTATGACACTGGACCAATCTGAAAAAAAAAAAAAAAAAAAAAAAAGGAAAATGTTTAAATAATTTAAAAGTAAAATTTGAATTTATAGCCTAACATCCCAGAAGGATCAGCTTTCTTCACACTTGACGCCTGGTCTTCATGGATCTGTTCAATTTATGACTGGCCTTTAAGGATCTATTAAATCATGATATGATCTCCACCCTGGAGAGCATATAACCCAAGCAGCAGCATATGCAGGGGCGGATTGAGGCCACCTTCTGGGTCTTCTGGAAGACGGTCAGATTTTCAAGTTTACATTGACGAGTATCTAATTTTTTTTCTGTCGGAAGACAGTCAAAAATAGAGGATGGACCAACAAAGATAGTTTGGAAGACGGTCAGAAAAAAGCTCTGGATCCCTCCCTGATATGTAACACACTGAATGACCATCCACAATTATCAACAGTACCATTACCAGGTATGTAATGCATTACATGAAGAACACTAATGTTTTTTACCTCATAGTCCCTCAAATAGGCCTCAAGACAATAAAAAGGCATTAATTTTGTATTTACAACTAAGTGCATTGCTTTACATCTAAATGTTTCAAACAGGAAATAATGTGAACTTTTAACTTGAGTTGTTTACATAAAAACTACCCAGGCGCAAGCTGTATTAACTAACTTTCTGTGATACACATAAATTTGAGTGTTGTCGCAGAAACTTGATATCTGCATATGATAAAAACCATCTGCTACCAACGCAACAAGTAAATATGTAGCACAATCAAATGAATGAAGATTGCAGTTCAAAATACACAGTTTAAATAACACTAAATTTACAGACTGATACATCAAAAAAATATATATCACACCTTGTTCAGATTTCTGAGGTGCACATGAATAAATAAAGAAGAAATGGACTGAATCTGGTAGGCACAAAGCACTCCACTGCTATCCTAGGGTCTAGAACACTTCCCTTGGGCCTCTTAGAGTGAATTCAGAACAGAGGACTAACATATCTGTGGATCAAATATTGCCGAACCACTTGAATGCTTGTTGCGTAATCCCTACGGGGAATTTGTTCAGTGTCTAATCGAGAATTAAGCAGCAAGCTTTTTAAAGGGTTGCCATATTTGATCCGCATATCTGTTAGTCTGCTGTTCTAAATGCGCTCTTAATTGCAAAAGTGATCTGCATGAGAAAGTTCCAGTCTAGACAAGTGCCTGGTTTTAAAAACCTCAAAGCATCTACTCTTTCATTTGTATCTTATTGTGATGTGATTAGAATGCACCATTACCAGTAAGGTGGTGGTTCTATAGATATATGCTTCTACCCAAATGTACATTATATAGTATTCTGTAAGTCATTGAAAGTTTATTACAAAATTAAGATCCATTAGTCTATACCCTTTACATGATTTGATTAAGATATATACTAGAACCAGGCAAACAAGAAGTGTGGCTTTACTGTTCAAGGAAACGAAGACAGTCGTGCAATGACAATTCTTCAATTATTCATTCTACTTTGATTTAATCAATGTTAAACCAATCAAAATCTACATATCTATAAACGATTAAGGTAAAAGTGACGACAGAAAAACATAAAGTTAACTTTACACTGCAACCAAAATTTCTTTCGTCGGTCTGAGGAACGACGGATCAGAATTCATTTCTTTATTAATTTAATTACTTTAAAGTGTTTTATCTTAAATAACAAAGAAAATAACATTTTAGATTAAGCAGTCCTTCTGTTTAAGCTAAAGGTAGTGAACTTCACCTTGAACGGTACGTCCCAAAGCATTCCAAGTTGCAGCAAATCGCTGGCAATGCCCACACCAGTCCATATAAAACTCCACAAGCCAAGCACTCGGAGAACGAAAAACCGTGGTGTTAAAATTATTCTCGTCCAAGAGGGCAGTTGGGTCATTTTCTGTGTATAGCCCGCGTCCGGTAGCCGGTGTCCATATGCCTGCTGCCCATGTCAAGAGTAAGACTTTAAATAAAGCGCCCATGGCGTCCTTTTGTTGAGACGCTCCGGTGACAAGGTGATTTGTTGACGAACGTGCTTTTACCCAAACCGCTTTTGTTCCTCTCATTTCAAAAGAGTGTAGTACGCGAAAATGTAGACATGGAGCCCGCAGGTTTTGAAAAGGTCACTTTGAACTTTTGAATAAGGGGACATCGACGAAATATTTAAATGGTGCATTTTATTCGGAGGTATTTAGATTTTTTTTAACATTTAGAACTAGCTTATCGCGAGACCTAGCTCCCCCCATGATTTTTAATAAATTTTCCTCACGCGGAAGTGAGGTCTGATTCAAGAATAGAGCTGTTAACGTATATTTCACTCTGCTGTAAAATCTTTGTGTGGGTAAGTAGGATATAACATCGTTGATTGAATATTACGTTAGCTGGTAGTATAAAAAGTCCACCTCCTCATATAAGGATAATATTGAGTGCATTTTTTCTCTAAGTCAGGGACTGATTGGGGGGGGGGGGGGGGTCAAAAACACTTGCTGTGAACATGATTATGACAAGCCTTGTACGTGAAGTTATTTATTATTACGCAATAGCCAATATGTATAAATATATGAGCATGAACTAAGATATTAAAAGTAAATAAGTCACAAGACTGCGTAACCAAAAAGGTTTTGACAAAATTTAATATCAAAACGAAAAAGAAATCGGCCTTAAGATATACCCACTGTCAGAGTGCCTGTTAACACGTAGCGTCTATGTGATTTGTGACACATCTACACGTGATGCACACTCGGAGTTGTTGATAAGATGTGTACACATGTGGTGCCAGTTATTATGCCAGTAAATTGTTTATATATAAATATATGTATATTTATATATGTACGAGTACATGCACTAATGGCTGCACTAAAACCTTATCTTATGTAAACGTGTGATCAACAACTTGAAATCCCTGATTGTGATTTTTAACATTTGAAGGACTGCACCACCCCAAGAAAAATTAAATAAAAGATAAAATCAAATGATGAGCAATTTCAAAATTTATGTATTTTGAAACCAATTTTTAATTTATTTATATCGATGAATTACTGGTTTGTCATCGGGGGTGGTCCAAAATATCATAAGGGGGGTGGGCAAAAGTTAACTTTTTGTATCCTCTCCTTCCCAGCTCCTTATTTAATAAAATAAAATATGGCATAGTGGGACTCATGGTACTGGTATATCTTTTCATTTGGTAGAGGTGGGGTATGCTGGATATTTGGTAGCCCATTGCCACCTATACTCCTTGTAAGGGTTGACCTCTGAGTATTATCACGGCGGGTTTGGGGATCAGATCCACTGCGACATGGTCCAAGAATAAACAAGCAAGACTTAGTATGTACTTCCACAAAGTCTGTTTTATTCCTGGTCGAAAGCTGGGACCTCCAGTCAGCTTGTTCAGCTGTCTGGTGTGGCCATTGCAAGTCCAGTCTCCCCTCTCAAATAATACATAGAAGTTATATAGCCTTTTTGAACAATGAACTATTGCTAGAGGTAAATGGTCCTAATTACAGGTAGGAAGATGACTTAAGTTGATAAAATTATAATGAAAGAGCATGGTCAGTGACGTCTGGCTGTACTAAGACTGCATTCCCATAGATTTAGATCAATCCATCTAGATCGACCTAACTCCCTGGGGGTTCACGCTAAATTGATGTCAGCCAAGCACGCACGGTAGTTAATTACCTCCTTACAGCTTTTAGTAGGCGGGACAGACCCTTAAGCCAGCTAAGCTGACATGTCAGTAACCTAATGAGACTCCCCACAGGGATAGATCGATCTAAAATCTGTGGGAATGGGGTCTAACAGAGAGATCACTGTCTGACCATTTCCTGTGTAGATAAATGAAGACTCATTAATTTTTATAATAATACAGTTGTGATAGTATTACAGTCAGATAGCTGCATATAGATGACACAAAGTCATGTTGACATAGTTTCTTTGATGTGAAACTACGTTTGTGTGCAAATGATGTACATGTAACAGACTTTAGAATGTCATATTCTGAGGTTATTCATTAACTACAAGTGGGCTCGGAGTGGCAGTTTTATATATGTCAGTAATATATGCCATTTGTAGTTCTAAAACATTTTTGACTTGGCAGGGTATTATAAAAGTGTAAGTTAACAAAATTTTATTATTTAATTAGCATAAGTTATTTTGGCAAGTTTCTGTTTCGAGGTGATTTTATTGGCAGTTGATAAAATGTTGAAAAAAAATACAGGTTCATGTGACTGAGTTTTGATAAACCTTAAAACCTATATTTCAGACGTATGATAAAAATTCTTCCATGGAAAAACAAGGGTGCAGTTCTGATAAAGATGATAATAGCACTACAAGGCCACAATGTGTAAGCATGTTGCATTCGACTTATTATCGGGTTTAGATGGAAGAGTGATGGCAGGATGGAACGGAACCTGTGCTGTTTCCAATTGTTCTGGACATGGGATGTGTCATGAAGGCTCCTGCATATGTCAGGTAACGTAGTCCAGGGTTACGTATTAACATTTAAAAAAGGTAGATCGATCTAGGGATGGGAACCCAGTCTTGTTCTGCTGTTCATTGTAGTGGAGCAACTGACTGACTCTTACATATGCAGTTGTATTTTTATAATAATGAATACCATGTGGTTCATAGTCAACCTCATAAATGGGAACCAAATTCTAACTGTCCTGTATATTTTGTTTGTTTTAGGTGCAGTTTACAGGAGGGAGGTGTGCTGAAATCAATCAAAGTTATTATATTGCATTTGGCACATTCTTCTTCTTTTTATGCGCTATATCTATTATACAGCTGGTGAGTGTCAGTCTACCTTGACTGATTAAATTTTAAAATTAAGCCTTGTAGTATTGTTGAGATTTTTTTTAATGCCGTGAAAGATAAAGATGTATAATTAATTAATTCTTTTTATTGCATGCTGTAGGAGGGGATAGGCTTCTTTATTTTTGATGTCAAAAATAATTTTTTTTTTAATGAAATTACATTTATACTGGTATAATATGGTGACAATTCAACCATCCCTGGGGTAGCGCTAGCACTCGCCAATTTAGCCAAATGCTAAAACTGACTTAATTTGGCTAAACAAAAAGGACTTGATTTGGCAAATTTTAGTCAAATTAAAGCTATTTTCATAAGAAATTGACAAAATAGTGATGATTTGGCTAAGCGAAAAAAATTGCTAGCGCTACCCCAGCATCCTGCAGTGGAAATTTGGAAGGGAGATTTCTAGATCAGCCTAATCTTGTACATGCAAGTCTCTCGTGGGGCTCTTGGATGAGTTTATGAGTAGGTCACTGGGTCAACTTGACCAGCTTTTGACAAGGGTCTGTCTGAGACATGGATATGTTGTCATAGGCAGGTTTTCATATGAGTTCGATATTCAGTGATTGATGATATGTTTTTTAGGAACTTGACCCTTAGGGAAGTATTTTCTTTCAAACCTACAATGCATGGCTTTTTACTAACCTGAAAAGATGTACTCATATTCATTCCCCCAGGCCCCCCCCCCCCCCCCCCCCCACCACCGCCACATTTTCTGATGACATTTGCTTGTCCTGAAAATCTTCTTGCCAACCTCTGCTTTTATTCATTTTCAGTTCCTTTGTATAAGATCGGAATACCACAAGTATAAAAATTCTCTATGGCCAGCTTGTCGGGTCACAGTACAGAAACTTTTATATGTGCTCACCATAATTGCCACTGCAGTACGAGGAGCATATTTCTTGACACAGGTGAGCATTTCCATGAGTAGATTGATATTAATTTTAGATTTTTGTAAGTAGTGCAATGTTTCTTTAAACTGTCCGTAGTTCTAAACACTCCTCCACAATCAGAATCAAGTGTCCGAGTGTAAAATGAACCAATTTGATAAAATTTTATTCAATAATACATCATCGAAAGACTCTGTTCAATAATATTTTGCTAGATAATTATTTTGATTCTCAGTTGTAATTTCTTGAACATTCTACATAATGCCATCTACCCTGGTATGACATCTTATGCCAAATTACCAAACTGTATTATATGCCACTGGATTTGTTTAACGGAATCAAAAAGAGACCAGTAATTCTTTCAGAGTGATGCCTCAAATCCATTGTCCTCTAACCTGTGGAGTGCGTACTATCCAGTTGTACTATCTGGTGGAAGCTTGATTGTCTGTTTCTGGGCAGAGGTATAGGCAAAGTCTATTTTCCAATGCCTTCTTAATTGAAACATTGAAAAAAATATTTGCCATTTGGCTTAACAGTTAAACAAACTAAAGAAAATTCATCTAAATGTAAGAGATATGTCTTAAAAGTAATGGGATCATAATAACAAACAATTTATTTCCTATTTTAATTATATAAGACTTTACACACTGTCAGATATTTGCCTTCGTTATCAACACTGTGGTTGTTCATTTTAGCCAGAGCAATGTCAAAGAAAATGCTGCTTGTAATTTTTTTAATTCTTCCAAATTCTTCCAGGTGTTTCATTTGGATGGAATACAATGTAACAAGCCTGGGTTTCTTAGCAAATCTAAGATCTTTTTCGCTGTCTTCAATGTAGTCTTACTTACGTTAGTTCTGAGTCTAGTGGTGCTCTCAGAGACAAGTGATTTGGAGCATTTTGTAAGTTTAACTGACAGTGTATATTTAAAATCTAAAGTTCATTTTAATTTATTAATATTGAAATTAAAACTTCTGTAGAATTATTAAAACATTTATTTAATTTGCTAAGTTATTCAGGAATTTAGAAATATATTTTTCAATTATTCAAGCATTGAAATGTACTTTTGATTGACACACATTTTGTTTTATATAAAACTAAAACATTTATTGAATGTACCCTGTGTGTCACTTCTAAATGTATTATGGGTCACATGTGTCTTTACTATTGAATGTAATTCAAGAATTTATCTGAAATATATGTTTATATGCTGTGTTTTTAATGAAAGGAAACTAAAAGTTGGGGATGGTGACATTGAAAACTTGAATGACTGTTTTTCTCTTCATAATTTATCATAAGCTCATTTGTGTTGGTGTGTTATGTGAAGATAATTTAAAACAGTGGGACAAGCAATTTGCTCCAAGTATTTTACCATTTGTTCTTTTGTTTTAACAGGCATACCAGAACAGCATTTTTAGTGGCTGCTTTGCTGTTTTGATGGTTGTAGTGGTCATATTTCTTCTCATATATGGTGTAGAGGTGTTTTTTAAGGTAAAGTTCAGTAGGAAATGTTTTAGTCTTTAGACTTTTTATTTGGGAAAGAAATTTGTATGCTTCAGAAGTTAAACTTATTTGTAAGATTTAGTACTGATGTTGTGACACTTTCAAGACCTAGCTACTGCCGTTCATATCAGCTTAAAGCTGGATGAGAAAGATTAATCGATACCACCAAATAATCAAATAAGGACCCCCATAGGACTTACCCAGTGTGATTTTATATCTCATGTCATTAAAATCTATTTTAGTCATTGTTAATCTGATAAAATTACAAAAATTATTTTAAAATAACTTACACAGGCCCGTAGCCAGGGAGGGTTCGGGGGGTTCGAAAAAACCGCCCCTTTTGTCGGAAAAGGTCCATTTTGGGGAAAATTTCATCTAGGTTCACATAAGTTTCATTATAAAAGGTCCACTTTTTCAGAAAAAGAACCCCCCTTTTGAATTTCCTGGCTACGGGCCTGTTACATAATTTTATATTAATACCATAATAACTCAACTTTTTGATGGACAGGGTCTGGCTCTGTGGCAGTACCTGGTTCCCTTAACAGTTATCTGAATGTACAAACATTTCTGAGGGAAGCAGTGAAAGTTTCACCCTTTTGTCACAATGTCTTTCAGTATACAATATAATGATTGTGCAAATATTTCTGAGTAAAGGCAGTGAAAATTTAACATTCTCATCACCATCCCTTTCAATGTTGTGCTGGACTTATCTTTATGAATACCATAACTGTTCATGTATATTATGTTCATTTCATTTTCAGCTTCATGGTGCTTTTATCCAAGCCAATGCAAGCCGAGAACCCTTGAACATTGCCCAACTCCACATGAGTAGACTGGGCCTGGTGGCCGCAGCTTGTTTACAGCTGGCTACTGCACTGTTTATCATGCTAGAGATACTGAAAGACCAGTGGAAAGACAAGTAAGTACAAATTGACTGGAATCCAGATGGCATTCTCTTTATGCTCCTGCCTCCCCCATCTTGGGTACCTTAAGACAATTTCTAATACAGTATTCTAGAAAACTTTCTCCTAAGGTGGCTCCCTCTGGATTAAAAAAAGATACTGAAAGGTGTAAGATTATGTACTGGCTCTCACTTACAAGTTTGAAATGATTGTTTTCTTTATGTTTTTGATCTTTAAGACTATTTGATATTTCAGTATTGATTAATTAGATTTAAATTAACATGCAGATATACTTGTATCACAAATAAGCATCTAAACTGAGGGCATCAAATTTTAAACTTTGAGTCAAATAATTGTCAGAAAATATGAGTTTTCATTATGCTCTATTTTTCAGAATTGATTTCATAGGTTTGGCCTTATATGACATTTCATTCCGAATAGTTGAGTTTGGAGTTATTCTCTGGTTTCCCTGTGTTCTATGGAATGTAAAAAGGTACCGTAAAAATGTTAGTTTTAATAGTTACTGTATTTTTATATCATTTTGTACCAGGAGTTACATTGTACTGTACGCAGTTTTTGGGGATATTTATTTGGGCAATCATCAAGTCTTCTTCATATTATTAGCTTATCAAATGTATGGCAGATATTTTCTATAAAATATGAACACTAAGTTTTACACAAAATTTCAATTTTGAAAAGCTTCCTTACCTAATTGAAGGTGCTATTTAAACTGAAAGGAAATTAAAGAATACATATTTTTAATGATGAATTCATAATCTACTCTGCAGACCAGACCAACTATGGCTGCTCAACCCCAGAAAAATCCTCAGATCAGCAGACGACAGTTCTAGTGGTGATGCTGAATACTTGTCAGAATCTTCAGAAACAGAGGGTCTTCTTCACAGGAACAAAAATGGTGGCCATTACAGTGCAATCAAAGATGGTGCTAAGGGAGGCGAGTGTTGGATTTGTTACGATAATGAGAGGGAAGGTGCTGGACCCTTGATAGAGCCCTGTAACTGCAAAGGAGACATGGCGGTGGCTCACCATGAGTGTTTAAGAAAATGGCTGATGGAGGTACGAATTGTACTGTTTAATTGTTTCAGTAATAATTTTCATGTTACTGCCTCTCATGGTTTGCTCAAAACAATCTGTCTTGAATTGGTATTACCCCCTTTACACTGGACAGAGTCCTTTCTGTGCCCTTTCTGCGACCATGAAATTGGCATCGCTGTGGTCTTAATAAGGAGGCACCAGCATTAATCTCAGTGATCGACCAGTTGTCGGCAGGTAAAGTATTATAATTTTTTAACTTTCAAATTGGGCTGTACTGCTGGACGCAGAAAGGAAACCGTCCTTTGTAAAGGGGCCTTAAAGCAGTATCAGACTAAAGTCCTATTAATTATTATTATTATAGTATTGTTGAGAGGGCTAATTTTGAATAAATAGATTCAGGTGTTTATTTCCTCATTCAAGGGTATAGGCACTCCAGGAAATCTCAGATGCAAGGTTTGCAATCAGAAGGTGAGTTTTTTCTTTTTTTTTATTCTCTTCTATTACCATATACAGGACTTCCCATGTACAGGACTTACTGTATTCTTTGAGGGACTTCTTTTTATCTGAAATGATTCAACTGACAGGTGATTGATGATTAATGCTACCCATTTTAACAATTTAAATGAAAGATTTCTGACTCATATATCACATGAAAATTCGTAAAAAAAATCTTCATATTTCAGTATTGTTTAAAAGAAGGTCCCGTTCATCTGCTGTATGGCTTCACGAAGCAGCAGCGGCTTTCAATGCTGTTAGTCCTTGCTGTAATGTGTGGAGTCCCCGCTGCGGTCTACTATGTCTGCCACAACCTTCCAGTTGATGAGACCTGGTTGCAGGTGTCTGCCATAGGGGGCGCTTTACTGGTGGAGTGCCTGTGTGTGAGGTGAATGGAAACAGTTACAGCATTAATTGAAAATAAAAAGCTTGTAAAACTCATAGGAAGACATTGTAAGCACCCATGATTCTGAAGGTGCATTTATGAAGACTTCTTAGCAAATACAAGCTATCAATTGGTTATGAGATATTAAGATGTAAATTCATGATTAAGATATAAATATATGTATTTTATTTATTAATTTTCCAGGCTGTTGGGTTTCAATGCAGTAGCTGCCTACAGAAGAGCAAAAATAGCTGCATTGCAGATATTAGAGAAAAAACAAGACACCCCCTCAACAGAAGAACCCCAAACCAGCTCAGTTCAGAGTGAAAATAATGTGCAATATGTTCAAGCTGAAGTGGAAGTTTTTCCAGCAACTTGTAGAGAAGTTCAGTCTCATTCCACAACGACTTAGTGTACAAGGAGACAGTGTCACATTGTGACCTAGTCTCTCCACAAATTAGATCAAATTAAGCTTAACACAATTCACTGGAAAAAGCATCTTGACTCCACTTTTTTTTTTAAAAAGAAAGCAGCAGATGTTTCAGTGCAGTTTATGTAAATGCAAAATATCACGACTTCATTATAACAAAAAAGAGAGAAAGAAAGCATAGCTGTTTTAATTTAATGAAGTTCAGGGTGTAGGTAATCATTATTTCTCATTTTTTAAAAGATTTCAAAGTTGTAGGAGTCTCACATTTTTACATGTAGCCACATTCCTGAATAAACGGTGATACAGTACAAGTACCATACAGTTAAGTACTGGCTAAAGAACTCACTCTACTGTTTAACAGCATAATTGTAACAGATTCAACTTTTATACTCTAGATATTTATAATGTAGGTGACATTCCATTTGAAAAAGAATTTGGATAATTCATTGTACTGGATTGAAATAAAATTTGATCTAAGTAGATTGCACATGGTCGGGAAAGGACATGCTGCCCCCCAGCGACTAAGGAATCAATTTTTTACAGAAATTACTAAAATAGAATGAACTCAGAATGAGCAACAATGTTGCCTTTAGCAGGTTAACATGTAAGGGAGAATTGTGAGATTAAGACATTTTTAATACATGCAGGAATGCTCAATTTAAATTTGGACTCTTGCATAAAAAAATTCCCTTACCATATGCTTTTCACATATTTTTAAAATTTCAAGGTCAATGCATCTCTGTCTAAGGGAAGTGAAATAAACCAAGTGTAATGCTTTTTTTGGCTATGCAGATTACAGTGGTTTGTTGCATAAGTCACACAGCATTCCTGATGTTTAATATTAAAATGTTTATTTTTTCTAATTTATATATTTGACACTTATAATCCATCAACAAGACAAAGGATTTGTCTTTTCTGAAAGATGTTTTTGAAAACGACAACTTAAAAATAAAAATATATGTTACTTACAATCACTATGAATTACGTTGTATGTACACATGATGATAGAAGTTTTGTCAAATTATCCTAGCAATTTTTTTTCACTTAATATGTTGGTCATATTTTAAATGAATCTCATTGTGGAGCTTTCCTGAAAAATGTGATGTCACATTCAGTGCCTCATGCCTCCAGTAATGGAGAACTTGTAGTTCAGAGATGAGACCAGAGGATATTTTGGTCTTGTCAAATTCATTTATTAACGTCAAGAAGAGCGTGTGGAAACCTCTAATGCAAATTTTTAAAAAAGAAAATGCTCTACTCTTATTTAAGAGCATTGCAAACTCTTCTGAAATCAATCAAATGAGTTACATGACAGTGACAGCCGCTAAAACATCATAAAAACTTTTCCTACAAGAACGTTTATAAAAAGCAGTGCTGTACACTAGAGTTACGTCTCTTTTGAGAGATCTGAACTTCTCCATTTAGTCTACTAGCTGTTTTTCTCGGCTTGTCTCTCCTTTTCTTTTCTCAGATCTCTCTCAAAAGAAGTCTCTTTAGACCTGCTTCTTCGATGTTTGCTACTTTTTTCATGCTTTGAATATTTCCTATCTGGTGTGCGTGATCTTTTTCGGTCTTTGGAACGAGAGCGGTGTTTTGACTTCTCTTTTGATCGAGACCTGTGTCTTGTTCTATCTTTAGAGCGCGACCTATGCCGCGACCGTTCCTTTGACCTGGACCTGTGCTTTGATCTTTCTTTGGATCGGGAGCGGTGCTTAGACCTTTCTTTTGAGCGAGACCGGTGTCTTGAGCTTTTTACTCTCTCACGGGACCGTGATCGATGTCTCGACCTGTAATCATCCCGATGCCTGTCTTTTGACCTTGACCTCTGATGTTCTCTGCAAAACAGATGGATAATCTTAACAAACTGAATGGTTTGTCACAAGATACTCTGAAAGTTCATTTCAGCATAAGACTGATGTTCATTGAGATTTTCTTAAACTACCGACTTAAGCTCAATCATTTCGGTCTTTTAAGGATGTAAAATGTTAAATGATGCAAATGTATAAAAAGATGACCACTTTTAAAGCAAGAGCACCTATTATTTGAATATTTGATAATTTCAGAGGTAATATCAGACCCAGTTTGCCTACCTTCCATCTCTGCTCCTGGAATGGCCATCTCTCTGTTGACGATCACGTTCTTTCTCAATTTCTTTGGCGATATCAAAGGGTGGGCTTTTTTTCCTGAAGGGAGATCTAGGGCGGCGTTCTGGGGTTTTAGATCTGTAATTAATAGTAAAATCAACAGGCTTATTTTGCACAAAAGACTATCTATTTAAGGAAACCAAATCATACCATGGTTGCAGAATAGTAAAGCTGTCTATTTAATTCAAAGTTTTAATTGAGTTTAACCAAAAACGTACCTGCAATCTCGAAGATTTCAAAGAAAACTGAATCGTTATATTAACAGGAGACTGTTTTTTTATTACCATAATATACTTACATATATATAACAATCCCAAATGCAATGAAACTTGAATGAACTTTTACCTTCTTACTCTGGACATCCGAGCAGCTTCACCAAAGGACACATCTTCATCGGGGATCCGTCTATCAGCGCTTTGCTCCTCTTCTTCCTCTCCTCCAGCCACACGGACGGGACGGGCAAACTGGCGCTCTCGTAGACGCTGTTGATTGCTCTTCTGCACCGGCACGGGAATGCGTGGAAACAACGTGCAGTACCACTCTAGTTTGGTGAGCCATTGTCGTAACATTTCTCCTATTGTCATGACATGCCCAGTTCCAGCTTTAACATCGATTTCCTGTAAGATAGAATGGGAATCAAGGTGTTTAATACAGGATTTGTCAGGTAGGCTCTTAAGTGTGGTTCTGCATGGGCCGTGCTCTAGCCATTATACCTGTAATAATAACAGATACCAATTAGATAAATGTCATCATTTAATAGAAAAAATCCAGCATTAATTTCTTTTTTTTTTTCATTTTTATTTAGAAAAAAATGAGTTTTCATCCAGCTCTGACGCAAGTTTTGGGGATTAAAAATAAATAGATCCAAGAATGCCAATACAAAGTTTACAGCTACTAAAATTATGAGTTTCAGAATGAACATGGCAGAATTCACTTATCTATTTTTTGTTTTGGGTGGAGGGGCCAGGGGATGATTAACTAAACGAGAAGCTTTTGTGACTTTTTCATTTATACTGATAAGAAAACTGCATCTTCAATGAAAATGTCTCTCTGTCTCATTTGTATACAAAAGGTTTGTCTTCAATAACTACTCAAACATACTGGATATTTTTCTTGAAACTAACACAAGACAAAAATTGTCTGCCCTATGGAGTTAAAGAGTATTCTCATTATTGAGGGAGGGTATGTTATTTGGCCATTTTTCCAAGTAGCTTAAGGAATTCAATCAAATAACATATGTTATTTCATCAACCAGAGGTAAGTAATGAAAACTAGAGTACTAATCGCCAATTAATATCTCCTCAACTATTAAACAACCTGGCAATATATTATACAACAACAAGGCAATTTTAAGAAATGTTGACAGATTCAACAAGCCTGTTTTAGAGCTTAACCTCAAAGCGAGGTCCGTGTGCCCAGAGTCGTCACCCTGCAATCTTCGCTTTGGCGGCCATGGCTTAGAGCACCTGCCCTACAGTTACAAAACACATGAGACAGTCAACATTGTCAACCTCAACCTGTCTTTCTCATTTTAAAAATACTATTATACAGAGGCAAGCAGTTCAGTCCAATCAACTGTCGCCCTCTCAAAGTGATGATTTTGCACAACCAAACAGTACACTTAACCCCATACTTAGAAAAATGTTTTGAAATATCTGTAAATCACACGTGTAAACAATGTGATAAGAAATTTGCTCTGTCTTGTTAGTTACAGGAAATCTTTCCATGCGATTCTTTAACTTCTACAGCAAACAGTTTGTTTGTACAGCAATTGCTTGCAAAAGATTACGAATAAGAATTCCAGAACTGATTCAGAAGTTAACTGAACTGCTAGCTCATTTTAGCTTAGGTTTAGACAACTCAACAACTTCCATCAATTTACAACTGCTACTTTTGAAATGTATTTACTACACAATTTGTAAGATCTACTTAAATGTGAGTTCAAATGTAAAGAAACAAAGGAGAAAGAAAACCTTTAGTACTCACCAATAATTATTGGATCTGCTCCAATATACCAGACTTTGTCAATGTTTTCAATGTTTTGTGCATTTGTTTTGACATGTTGTGTAAGAATTGTAAAAAGAAAATTTGGAGGTTCAAATTTCAGGCTTCTTGCTTAGATTAAAGTTCAAAGCTCCCTTTAAAAACTTACGCTTGGTTTTTTTATCCCATTTCAAGAGTGAGCCAAAAATTATGCACTGGATACATTTCAAAGCAATAATTTATGCAATGACAGAAATATCAATTTTCATACCCCCCACTCCCCCTGCCCCCCCCCCCCAAAAAAAAAAAATAATAATAAATAAATAAATAAATAAAAAATAAATAAAATGAAAAAATAATAAATCCAAAAATGGTACTTCTTCGTCCAAACAATGTTTAAAATATTTTCCATTGGTCTTGTTTGAAAATGGTACCTTGATTTAAGTGTTTTCTTTGCATGTGTTTTGTGCTACATACCTCCTCATCATCAAGGTAAGGTTCGTACCACTCCCAGAGGTCAGCAGGGGGTTGTGTGTATCTGATAAAATAAAATAATTCAAAAAATAATTTTAAAAACATTCATAATTCTAACTGCTACTCACTGTAGGAACTTTTATGGTACACAATCAGCCTAATATGCTTAATTTAACTGTTAAATTGGATGAAAAACAAAGAAAGAAAAAGACAAAAGACAAAAAGCCTATAGATTATATAGATATCTGTCCACTACTGTCACTGTCTGTTCCTATGGTATATAACTTAAGTTTTGTTTTTTTCTTTTCACATTTCCTTGAAGTGTTCACATCATTTACAGTGTTATCTTATATAAACCATATAAAACAATCATTTTAAATTACTTACAGTCTACAAGGACTATTATTTATTTATTTATTTATTTATTTCCTTTAAGTGATACTGGAATCTTCACAACTTATTAATTTAACAGACAACTGAAAAAAAAAAAAAACATTCTTGAACTAGAGGATCAGAGAGGCGATACCGCCTCCGAATATTGTACCACCAGCTGGAGCAAGCGCATTCGTATAGACCCCCANGAAAAAAAAAAAAAACATTCTTGAATAATAGAACTGGTTGAAAGCCAAGACAGTGATTTTCTTGTATTTGCCATCAACATACCTGAGGTACATAAAACCAAGTCCCCTGATGTAAGGAGAGTCTGTGTGTGTAATAAGTCCATTCACTTGCTTCCTGGTCAACTTCAGTGTGTACAGTTTGTAGAGAAGACAGTACGCACTGGAGACTATGCCACCAGCTCCAACACCTCGGACCTGAAATATGAAAAATATTGTACAGAAATGTACACATACACAATTACACACTCAAACATACACACACATAGCTAGTACAATCTTTTATCTGAAACGCAAAGTACGCATTCAGAGCTCTAACAATATATAAATATACTGCACAGTACATATATTGACATTTTAGGGACAGGAAACACAATTTTCTATGTCTTGACTTTTTTTTAGATAGTCTTTGCTAATGTCTATGGCAACTTGATTTCTTTAAGTAATAAAATGTATAACCCCTGTTAAAATATTAATTTATATGAATACAAGGAAAAGTCATTGATCTGGCTTCAGTGAATGTGAGAAAAAAGTGGTCTTCAAAACAGACATCTGTAAATAGTACAATCCTGAGCTTGGAACCAGATGAAGTGTTGGACAGTAAATAAAAGAAACTTGTTGAATACACAAGGTAGGTTTGTTACATGAATTTCTTTGTCCCACATCTTGAAACTTTGAATCAATTTACCCAGAGATAATTTTTATACTCAAGATGAACTTTTACTGAATGTACTTCCCCATTCAAAGATCAAAATACATATGCAATATCAACACATCTGACTTGAGACAAAAAACATTAAAATTTAATTAAACATACCCCTCCACACATTCCTGTCTGCCCAGCTGTCTTCCTGCTACCCTTCTCCCAAGGTTCAAGGTGAGTTACCTATTAATGTAAGTGTTAAGAAGGTCACGGATTGTAGTTTACATCATCAAAACAAATTTTCTGACTGACTGCACATGATCTTACTTTACCATGCGGTTTGGACAGCAGAAATATCTTAATATTTGGAATTTAAATAAAAAACTTTGAACATGATCTCAATGACCATAGGTAAATACGATTAAGAATAAACTTAAACCGAGTTATTAAGTAAAAAATCAAATAATATTTTGTGGGAATACAGCTGTTACTTACCTTATAATAAATCTCATCTATGACTTCATGGTACGTCTTCAGCTCATACAGATTAACTTTGAAATACGGCGATGACTGTATATTAGTTAATATGAGGCTATTTAGGTTCATGGTCGCCTCATTGCCCCAAATTGGTAGAGCACTTGTTGGTGCCATGGTGAAGCCAAAAGACAACTGAAATAATATTTTAAGATTACATTTAACGTATATTAGAGCTAATAAGAAAATAGAATTTCTAGAAAAATATTGTTAGCAAAACTGAAATTTAGTCGACAGTATTATTCACCTACACATTAAACACCTTATGATCTTTCCTATTCCAAGCGATATTTAATACGGCAACTTATCATACATTTTTATTAAAGTCATAGATCTAAACGATGTCTACATGTATAAGGCCAAAAATTAATATTCTTTTATTCGGCGCCATTTTAATAATTTTGCTCGAGATCGCCATGGCCCATGTGCCCTTCCAAAGATAACGAAAAACTCATAACATTTAGTTTCGAGTACCGTCTGTGATGTGAAAAACATTTATCCCAGGACACGTGGGTAATATAAAACTTTATAATTCACCATTTAAAAAACTGAAACCTGAATTTTAATACTTACCTGAAGACGGTGTACTAGTTTCCACTACTTCCTTTATATTTTCTCGCGAAATCTCGTTTAACGTAATGAAAACGTTGCCTCAACCAACACAATGCATTTCACAGTGCAACTAACAAAGCATTGTGATTGAAAAAAGTTTTCCCACTCTTTTGTTTCGTTAATCGACTGAAACTCGGGGGGTTTAAGGTAAAACAACGGGGAAACGTAAGAATGAGATGGGAACATTTGTGACAAGACGAAAAAAAAAAAACATGAACGGAAAAGAGAGTTTCCTAGAGGATTCCAATACCCATTTCTATTTTCCTGAAAATAATTCATTCATGCCATAGGAGTTTTCTACTTCTCTGATTCATACTAATTAATAGACTTACCGGGTACGAAAAGACCTACCAACGATTTTCCTTTGAAGCAAAGAAACAAAAATTTAAGTTTCAGCTGACGTCCTCATTTTGAACATACATGTGTAGAAGTACAATGTAGCTCTACTTTTAGGCCTATGTTTTGAAGTAGGCTGAGACCAGTGGCGGATTTAGGGGGGGGGGGGGTGATGCAGCGGGATCCTGACGTCCCCCCCCTTCGGTTTCTGGAAAAAAACACACAAATATTCCCCATTTGAAGTTAGGAATTTGACCAACTGAATCATAGTTCTAAACGGTAGCCCTAAAACCGTACCAAATGGCACCGTTTGTCTTTCAAAATACCAATTTTTTCTGGGCACCTTGAGCGGGCCCCTACCCCACGCCAAGGGGGCCGGGGGTTGGCATCGTATTTGAGGGCTTGTTAAAAAAATCCGCCCCCCCCCCCACCCTTCAAAGTATCCTGGATCCGCCCCTGCTGTCTACCAGTTTTATTCATACCGTGCTGTATTTGATTCTACGTTTTATTTAACAACTTTTCAGACGACAAAAGGGATACATATTACGGAAATTTGACAAACATTCTATTTCGAAATGATCGCCAGTTGAGTATGCATTTCGTTGATTATATGACCATTTCTCTATATGGGATATATCTGCATTGGTAAGGAGTGCCTGGAGGCGGTCGTGAATCGCAATGGAGTGCTTTTTTTTTCATACAAAATAAGTCCTCGTTGGTAGGTTTACCTAGAAAAGTTAATTTATTGTTGATATATCAGTCAACATTAAAACCAAAAATAGCTTACAAAGGTGTGTTTATTATATCTTGTTTACCTCTAAAAAATTGTAATCGTGCATTTGCCGCCGTTTTGGACGTTGCATCGCGCTTATCGCCTTTTTTTAAAATGATAAAAATTGCCAAGCAGAGAAAACATTTACAGCTCTTAACTAGAAATATATGTCAGAATAGTTCTTGTTAGTTTTATTGATTAAAATAAATTGATTTAACTGACCAAGTTCGTTTGAGCGGCCAACATAGGACACAGACAAGTTTAAATTCAGGTTTTTCTTAAGACGGAATTGGTAGCGGTGTAAAACTGTTTGGTGAATTTCACATTGATGGATTTTATAACCTGCAGCTGCATTCATTTGAAATATAACGATCGAAATATAAGTTTTCAAGACGTGGCATCAAATTCCCAAATGGCTGCATTTGAGTGGATTTAATCAGTAATAAGTCATCTTGAAGTATGCAGAATTTTATATTTAAACATGAATTTTCTACTAAGAGTAAATAGTGCCCAAAAATGGGCCTTGTGGGTCTGCGACTTTCAATGCCATCGACCTTCTTTCGATCTTTCCTTTCGACTGTCTTGTATATTAATGCCTCTCTTTACTCAGTCATAGCCGATTATGACGCGATATCTTAGATGTTGTGTCAATCGAGTATGCGACAAAAAATCTTCCATATCGAAAGTATCCGAGTTCTGCAACGTGAATTTATTGACTTTAATACTAATATATTAATTTATAATTAATTTATTTCATGCTTAATTCGAATCGTTTCGTCAACACACCGAATTTTAAAAAGTGCTTTTTTCGTGGGGTGGGGGAATCAATAAAAACGAAACCCCCTCTAGGAAATCCTGGATACGACCCTATATATATTGTGCCCCTTCACCAACAGCAAGAGGTGTTGGGTTCTTACATCTACAGCGGGATAGATTTGTGTAAGATAGTTGATTTTAGGGGCTATAATACGACTCGGGATAGTCTAGGTAACGGTTCTAGTTATGCCCGGAGGAAAAGTTACGCAAAACCAAAAATCAATTTTATTACCCGGACATTGCCTAGTTTTATGGAAGAAATCTACGTGACAGAAATCGCCAAATCTAAAATCAAATTTGTGAAAAGGGGCAATTGAAAAGAATTTCGACTTTGTTAAACGAGCCGCGTGCATAGGCATTTAACTCCATTAAAATTAATTTGCAAGTCTGGTAATTATTTTACCATCTGTACACGCCTTCCGTTTTGTTTTTTAAACAAAAAAAAAAAAAAATGAGAAAATATAGTTTTATTCAACTGCTATATACAGTAACACTCAATTTCAAAAGTACTTCAGCAATAATTAATGAATCGTGTAAACACAATGTCTCAATAAATGGTAGTACCCGATACTCTCGGGCCGTGGGGAAAAACCCGTCTAAACCCTTCTGGGGAATGCCGGGAAAATGCCCACGCCCGGAAAATTCAGTCAATAAAACATGACAACTTCAGTTTTTTATTGGCACGGCGCCCCGTTTTAGACAGTATGGTGCAACTGAATAAACTTTCTCTTGACTAAAACTATTCTCCATACACTAAACTGGTACACAAGATGAAGCGCAAGAATTTACCAAAATACATGTAATTCCCACTGAAAACAATCAAGACATATACTAGTCTTAACACAAGTAAACTGAAGCTTATTTCAACTTCATCTAGGGGGATGAATCCATAAATAAAGTATCTCTATCCTTAAACAACTGAAAGCATACATCAGAACTTGGATATAGTTCTCTCTCGTGATAAAATATATAAAAGTTCAGGTAATATGATTATTGGCCAGACACATCAATGATTGAAATTAAACTTTGACATAACTGAATAGAAGTTTCTCAAATGTAATTTTGCCCTGAAATCGCAACTACCTTTATGATACAAAAAGAATAAAGCAAGCTTGCTTCGACATATTTCATATTTCACATTACACTGTATGACCGTCCATGCAAATTTCAATATGGATTTTTGGGTCCGGAGAAAAAGGTGCTTATATGATGAATTGGATATATTTGTCAACTATAGCACTTGAGAAAATCATAATATTAGTAATATTAGTTATGTGCGATCCTCAATCTTGAGAGATGGCTGGGTGCACCCAGCCATCCCTTACGAGGAGCTGTGTACAAAAAATATAATGAAATATTTTCTCAAACGTAAAATATTTCACTATAGATTTTGCACAAGCTATCAATGTAAAACCTCTTCATGTAAAACCATTTACATCAAGTCGGATTTTACAAAGATGTGAGGGTTAGTTGAGGTAAGTGTGCGGATTATGATCTTCTCAAACGCTATACTGACAAACAACTCCACATCATCAAAAGCACAAATATGAAAAATGACTACATCACTAATATTGAAATAAAACACAGACGACCATAAGTTGTGGTAATACCAATGCTTTGCGAATGTGGATAATGCAACTAGATATGCCATTTTAAATTTTAATAATAACTGTTGAGGCAGACTTAAAATTTTCACACTTCATTCATCTTATATAATTTGAACATTAATGGAATTATGAATGATCATACTGAACTTCAGTTTTCTATTAAGCTATTGGAATAAAACGTTTCACTGTCATAAGTGAAAAAATAAAACTTACTAAATACAATTACACCCGACCCATGGAGCGCAAAAAATTCTCAATATATAAAAGGCTTGAGTACATTATTAGATTGTATTCCTCTTACATACAGTAAATAGCTCTTCATTATCATTCCACATTCTCTAAAAATTTTTGCAAACAAGCCGTGTCCTTAAAAATCAAGACTGCTAGGACGTCAGATCATCAATGAAAGTGGCTACAGGGGCTCCTTGCTAGTGCCATTAAGTGTTTACGCATCTTGGACATTTGGGCTAGGATTGATGGTATCTGCGTTCGGTCATTATTTATGGAAAACTGCCCTTTCGTAGCCTACAAATGAAATATAACATGTTCACACGAAAGTATGAAAAGTAATTGAAAGCTTGGAGTAATTGTAACAAAGAACATGTATGTCACTGGTAATTACACCCCGTTCATTCCAGAAAGTATTTTAATGTTTCATAGTACTTTGGCTGTTAAGACGATTATTTTATTTTATTTTCTTATATTTCTATAACACAACAAGTTTTAAAAAGAACTTGATTTAATTTTTAGTGTAACAATTGCACCCTAATTCTAAAATTGCAAGGGCTTGTTAATAATAATATAAAAATGCAATCTAGTTCAGTTATATTAAAATTTGTATTCGGACCAGTGAATCGACTCAGCTCAGTACGTAATTTTAGGAAAGTTGAGGTCCGAATGGCCAGTATGGTAAAAAGTTTATGGCAAAGACTACAACTGAAAAATCATTTTAGTCTATTTCTCTCCCCAATAATACGGCTTACCTTTATGGGTTTTCCATCTCAGTGAAACACCATATGCCTTGGACGCTTCCCCAATGCAGCCACCTTGTAGACAGACCATGGCAGGACTCGCTGGACGCTTCTCCAATGCAGCCACCTCGTAGACAGACCATGGCAAGACTCGCTGGACGCTTCTCCAATGCAGCCACCTCGTAGACAGACCATGGCAGGACTCGCTGGCAGCCACCTCGTAGACAGACCATGGCAGGACTCGCTGGACGCTTCTCCAATGCAGCCACCTCGTAGACAGACCATGACAGGACTCGCTGGACGCCTCCCCAGTGCAGATACCTCGTAGACAGACCATGGCAGGACCCGCTTGGCGCTTCCCCAATGCAGCCACCTCGTAGACGGACCATGGCAAAACTCACTGGACGCTCTCCCAATGCAGCCCTCTCGTAGACGGACCATGGCAGGACTCGCTGGACGCTCCCCCAATGCAGCCACCTCGTAGACAGACCATGGCAGGACTCGCTGA